GTGTACCCTCCCGAGCCGCCAGTACCAACCAGGAGGGACACGGATCCAATAAACATGTGGTTGCATTCAGTCTCCCCAGGATCCTGTCCACGTCCTCGGGAGCCACAGAGTCAAACTCCTCCCATATAACAGTCTCAAGACCTGCTCCCGCCACCTCCCCCGGGGCCACCCAGTCGGAGTCCAAACCCTCTCGGATCCGGGCGACTTTGTCATGCAGATATTGTGCAAATTCCTCAGCCTTCCCCGCCAGGGGGTCCCCCCCCTCAATTGAAGGAGGGAGCGGGTCACCCTGAAGAGGGAGGCCGGGCGATTATCTGATGATGCAATGAGGGTGGAGTAGTAATTAGACCTCGATGTATTCGTAGCTGGCTGATCGGCCATACTCAGCGTGTGGTCCTCAATGGAACTGCATCTACATGGAGGGAAGTGTGTAGTGGGGTGCCCCAGGGCTCTGTTCTTGGCCCAGTGCTCTTCAACATCTCCATCAACAATTTGGACAAGGGGATAGATGGGGAACTCATCAAATTTGCGGATGACACCAAGCTGACAGGAATAGCCAACACTCCAGAAGACAGGCTTAAGATACAGGAGGACCTGGACAGACTTGAACACTGGGCGCTATCTAACAAAATGAAATTCAATGGTGAAAAAAGTAAGATTCTACCTTTAGGCAAGAAAAACCAAATGTACAGGTATAGTATAGGGGGTACCTTGCTCAATAGTAGTAACTGTGAGAGGGATCTCAGAGTCCTAGTGGACAATCACTTAAATATGAGCCAGCAGTGTGCTGCAGCTGCCAAAAAAGCCAACTCAGTTCTGGGCTGCATTAACAGAGGGATAGAATCAAGATCACATGAAGTGTTAATACCACTTTACAAGGCCTTGGTAAGGCCACACTTGGAATACTGCATCCAGTTTTGGTCACCGCGATGTAAAAAAGATGCTGAGACTCTAGAAAGAATACAGAGAAGAGCAACAAAGATGATTAGGGGACTGGAGGTTAAAACATATGAGGAACGGTTGCTGGAATTTGGTATGTCTAGTTTAATGAAGCGAAGGATGAGGGGGGACATGATAGCAGTGTTCCAATATCTCAGGGGCTGCCACAAGGAAGAGGGAGTCAAGCTATTTTCCAAGGCACCTGAAGGCAGGACAAGAAGCAACGGATGGAAACTAATCAAGGAGAGAAGCAACCTAGAACTAAGGAGAAACTTCCTGACAGTTAGAACAATTAACCAGTGGAATAACCTGCCTCCAGAAGCTGTGAATGCTCCAACACTGGAAGTTTTTAAGAGACTGGACAGCCATTTGTCCGAAATGGTGTAGGGTTTCCTGCCTGAGCAGGGGGTTGGACTCGATGACCTCCAAGGTCCCTTCCAACTTTTTATTATTATTATTATTATTATTATTATTATTATTATTATTATTATTATTATTATTATTATTATTATTATTATTATTATTATTATTATTATTATTATTATATGTATTTCTTACCCGACCCTAATGAAATCATTACTTTTATTCAGCACCGGTTGCACAAATTTAATTCTCATTTTAGGAGCTTGCAGTATTGCAAAATTGAGGAACCAATGTCTTACTATTTCCAATAAACAAACAAATAAATACATTTGGAAAAAGTTGCTTTAACTTCTCTCAATTTGTATCCAAATATTTTCCTAATTAAATCACAAGGTCCCTCCCGACCATTGGTTTCTATACAATTTGTTTCTGTTAGTAAAATACTTTAGACTGCTTGCTAATCAGGAAGATAGGTTAAGGAATATGTTTTTAGCCCATAGCCCATAAATTTGTAAGTTGGGAGATAATCTATTTCTTTGAAGAAAAGTATAGGCACAACTTGATTGCTGTTAATATGGCAAGCCAATTAATGCTTTTTTTTAGATTTCAAAGAATTGGTAATTATTCCAACCAGTTTAAAGAGAAAGAAAATGACTATTAATGCAGGCATTATTGAAAGAGTATTAACAGCAGGCATCTATGAAACCATCAGTGAACCTGAATCAAACAGAATATACCAGGGGAAAATATATTTGAGCAATATTACTAGCTTAATGAGGAAATATCTTCCAGAATCTTTTAAATCATGTAACAATGGACTCATTTATTTTTAGGCCATACTAGGAAAGGAAATATATACGGTATATCAGAATCTTAAACAGCCCAGCAACCCCCATTTCCCATCTAGCAATCCATTATAGTGCTTCTTACAAGAAACCTGGTTCAAATGTTCCTAATATATCCATCCAGTATGGTCATTGCTGAGAATTCTGTTTCAGAGGTCACCTGTCTGAAGGATAACAAAACTTCATTTATTTTCCAGAATTTCTCAAAATACATAAAAATACAGCCAGTTCTTTCAGTACTTTGGATGACACTGCACTGCAGACCTTGGAGACTGAATCCAATGGTCTTTGCTGTGTAACATATATGTTCAAGCAGTTGAGAACGACAGAAAATTAGGATGGAAGGAAGTTGGCTAATGATCCATTGTGGGGCCTAAAACAGTGCCAAATCATACTTTAGTGTAAGTATATATTTTGTTTTATAACCAAATAAAAAGACAATAAAATAGATCATAACTACATTGTGTGATTCTCCATCTTTTTCAGACTGCCATAGACATAGCAGAAATTTAAAACTGCAATCTTACAAAGGCTTGATTTTATTTAGTACAATTTATATCTAATAACTTTTATTGCCTTTCCCTCACACTTTCTCAATGTCCAGTTTTCACTGGTGTACATTTCAAATGGAAATACCATTTTTTTTAAATTATTCTGATCTTTATTGTCAGAGAAATAACCTTATTGTTCACAATCCTGTTTAAATCTGTTACAAGATAAAACTTGCCTTCCTTCCTAGAATTAATCTATTTAATTTTCTAGACCATGGAACATTTTCATTTGTACTTGAACCTAAAGATACAATAATTTGCATACTCCTTAGTTTTTTCTTATTCATTAAAAAAAAGAAAAAAGTGAAAAGCAGTCAAAAGAAGAAAAAGAAAAATAATCGACAGAGAAATATAATATATATAATTTGACAAAGGAATTCCAAATATTGTAAAGTTAGTGCTCAGTTGTTGTTGTTAGTTGCAAAGTCGTGTCTGACCCATCGCAACCCATGGACAACATTCCTCCAGGCCTTCCTGTCCTCTACCAAGTGCTCAGTATACTGTTAATAAGACATTAATCATAAAAAACAAAATATATTAAATTATTTTAACAGTGTAAGGATTTTAATCTCTGGGTTCTTTATTGTCAAAATTAAATAACTAAGCATGCAGATTGACATTATCTTTGTTCTTTTAATATTTTTTTCCATTAGATTTTTTCATTTTCCATTTATATTTTGGTAATATAGCCTTCTAAGTTTTCTTAATTTTCAAGTAGCATCAGCATATTCCAACTCATAATAATTCCACTTGCAGTTTCAATTCCAGTTATCCTTTCTTCCAAACTTGCCATTCTTGAAATACAGATTGAACACATAAAGGGATAATGCATATCTTATTCTCTTCCCTATTCTAAACTATTCAGTATCTTAGTTCCTACTGTGGCTTTTTATTCATTCAAAAGGTTCTTCAGAAGAATAAACCAAGCATTAACATATTTCATATTTTGACATGGAGAGGAGCCAAGATGGCGACACACTAGCAGCTTCCGAAATAAACTCTCGGCTCGCATATGTATTTTGGCATAATCTTCCTAACCAAAGATTGCAGTCAATAAAGCAAAGTATATCTCCTTATTACATTCCTTTGCTGTCTTCATTATTTTTTTAATTATCTATCTGATTTTGTGTCCCACTGCCCTTTCTGAAATCTGCCTGTTCATTTGACATTTCTCTTTCCACGTATGTCTTCTTTGTCAAATCTTAAGGAAAACATTGCTTATGTGACAAACTTGTGCATTCCTGTATAGTCCCATTCTTAAGTATATACCAATATTTTCCAGCTTTCAGTCTTGCTTCATAGAATAATTAGCCATTTAACTCCCTCTTCTCCTATTGCTGTTTTAAATAGTTCTAAGGGTATTTTATCTCTGCCTGGTGCCTTCCTGCCTGACAGCTGGTCTATTACCCCTTTCACCTCACTTACTAGTGGAGTTAGTTCCCAAATATATTCTCTCTCTCTCTCTCTCTCTCTCTCTCTCTCTCTCTCTCTCTCTCTCTCTCTCTCTCTCTCTCTCTCTCTCTCTCTCTCTCTCTCTCAACATTTCTGTCATTTTATGAGACCATTTGTTTAGTGTAACATTTTCTAGTCACCTCATCTACCTCTACTAGGACTCCACCGTGATTGTGTTTACTGTGTCTTCTCTAAAAAGTGCTTTCAGTTTGTTTTTGCTATTTTCCTTTATCTGTTGACAATCTTGATTTTTTTTTTCTTATCTTTTCTTGCTTGGTGTTGAAAGTCTTATGTTCAATTACGGTAATTATCCTGTTGCCCAAGGCATTTATCCTACTTTTCCTTGGCTGTCATGGGAACCTGTTCAAAAAATCATTTGGGTCTTTTTCTCTTTGAAATTTGGGGATTTTTCTCCACTTTGGTTTTTATAATGCTTCTTAACTCTCCATGCAGCATTTCAGATTCTCTTTCACATAAGTCAAATATAGTGAACCTATTACACTATTTTTGACTGCACATCATCCAAGTGAAATTTTGCTGGCACACCTGCTGTCTTTAATTTTATAAATTTAATCTGTAAATTTGATACCAATAATTCATGGTCTGTTCCACAATCTTCACCGAAAAAGATCTTAACTGGATTGTGCTGCTAGAACTTCTTTTCCTATTATATAGTCAATTTGATTACAATGATGTCTCTGTGTAGTCTTTATTTATGTTGCTTGAAGCAAGTTCCAGAAGTGAAGAATTTTATTTGTAAAAACCTATTAACCTTTCTTCTACATGAGTACATTTACCCAGTCCAACCTTCCTACAATCCAGGTTCCTCAATTTCTTCAACTTTTGCATTCCAATAATCAATTGCTGGTTTGGGGGTGTTTTTTATAATATCATATTTAATGTATCTTTCAATTTGCATAATTCTTTCCATGTCTACAACAACTTTATCTGTAGTATGGGTACACACTTGTATACCACTGATGTTCACTTGATAGCCACAAATTCAAACAGATATTAAGGCGGTACAAGGCTTTGGACGTGAAGGAAGAAAAACACTTCAGGATAAGTGTGCCTAAGAATACAGGTAGTCATCAACTTATGACCGCAATTGAGCCCAACATTTATGTTGCTAAGTGAGGCATTAGTTGAGTTTTGCCACATTTTACGACTTTTCTTACCACAGTTGTTAAGTGAATCACTGCAGTTGCTAAGTTAGTAACATGGTT